CCCGTACAGGCCTGATTTTTTTCTGGTCTGATTTTCGCTATTGCATAAATAGCGCTCTCTACTGCGAGGATCGTGCATCATACGTATTTAATACCGCAGTTCAAAATATATGAACTTCATATATACATTGTATCTAACACTTAGTACACCGAAATATGTAACTCAAACTTCAACAAGTATGGAAATAATAACAGTGTACATCTCTGCAGCTGATATCAAGAAATGTGACAAGTGAACAGAAAAATAGAAATTAACTGCGTGAGATGTGGGTGACCTAAGGCAAACCAACGATATTCGTGATAATTTCCTTCGGACTTGTCGTTGTCAAATGCTCGTGATCACTATTGAGTTCGCTCAAGATCTGTAAAAATATTTTCATTTTCATCAAGATTTCTTTGTTGTGAATGAACTTTTTGTGTTCGAGTCAGAGAGGCATGTCCAATTTGATAGGTGTTCTTTGCAGATTATTTAAAAGCATCGTTGAATAGTTTTTGTTTTGGAGTCATGCCATGGTTAAATGATCGAGTTCAATCACTGTAGTGCATAATAGCCTAGATCTACCATGACGTGTCCATGTCTGAGAAATCGCTTGAAGGCGGACATTCAGTCTAAACGCTCTAAAACAATGAAAGAATGCTTATCCTTCGAAGCTAAGGATTTGCCATTGAGGGAGTGGGTTACTGGCAGCCGTGTGTCCAAAACTTTAGGGGTGAGGAGAGTACGTTTTAGACACTTTGGTCAATTTCAATTCAGTTTTTGGTCAAAAAGAGCCTCGTCGGAGAAACCTTTTTCACTAAGCAAATTTTTGATGGTGCTTGTCTCGCATGATTAATAGTCAGACTCGTGCCTTGTTCCAGCTCAGCCAGAGGGCTGTCCACAAGGATGGCAAGGTTTGAGAAGGTTAAAGGAAGGACGGTGGGCGGGCGGGGGAGGAATGCTATGGAAGAATGAATTCTAAGATATGCAGGTGTATATCACATGTTAATGAAAAGAGCATGATGACGTTGTAGAAGGAAAGATGTGAATCGTTCTATCAGAAGAGTGGAACAACGAACGCGCTCACGTCGCGCTCAGTTCACGAGGTGTCCACGTGAGAACTCACTTCTCGTCTCACTTAGAGCCTTTCATAAGCGTTCGCTTCACATATTGCGCGTGCATCTCACGCTATACGTCACGCATCAATCAATTATCTCGAAAAAAAAACCAATGCTGATCACTTGTTTGAAAGATAAGCAACAGGTATCCAAATACTGGTTTCTCGACCGAATTTTCTCTCCAAGCCTTAATGACTTATCTTTAAACGATGTATATTGTAGAGAATACAATGCGAAGGAATGGCTTCTTTTACAGCGAGTATGTCCAAGAGAGAGGCACGCGGATGGCTGCCTAATACAAGTTAACAAAAACACATCTTGCAGCGTTTTAAGTCACGTGTAGAGGTGCTTCACGGGGAAGAGATAAAGAATTTCTGAGATAAGGGTCTATTTAAGAGAGCATTTCGATTAATTGGCATTTAGGAGAGCATTTCTCAGTTTACTCGCTGAGAACAAAGAAATATGTCAGAAGGAGCCAATGAGAACTCGAAGTAGAAACAAGCAAACTGTCTAAAGCGCGGGAAAATGGAATGGACTCAGACGCGTTTGGTTTTAGTTTTCAATCTCATTGGATGTGAGAAGGTGGCGCGAATTTTCTTAACCAATCACAGACCGAAGTATAGCAAAACCATGATAATCTAGGATTACGTTCGACGCTCGAATGAAAATCGCTGCGATAAACCAAAGGAATAGCTAATCAGCTGAGTGTCGCCAACATGTCTCAACTGTGACGTAGCGCTGGGTGCAATTTATTTTGCCTTAAACGGCATATCCATTAAAAAGTTTTGTTTTCAGCAAAGTTAGATTAAATTTTCTGCTTAGATTGGGACAGGTTAGGATTATGAAAACATCTACATATGACACTTCACAAACAGGAGCATAAGATACATTCAATTCAATGGTGGGTTCAATAGACCGTTTCAGCCGTCTCTTTACAACATTTTGCTATGGCGTAATCGCGGCAACAACACATAGTATGAATATAATAACAGTGGCTATAACCGCTGCTGAGATCTAGAAATATGACTTATCAACAGAAAGAGAGAGATTAATTGCGTGAGATGTGGCTGCTGACCTAAGGCAAATAATATTCGTAATAATTTCCTTCGGCTTTTTCGTTGTGAAATGCTCGTCGTCACCATTGAGTTTGCTCAAGATTAATAAAAATATTTCCTGTCGGCGGCTCCAAACTTAGTTACTGCACAAGTAACGTAGACTAAAAACTTGAAAGAGCATATACACTTCCCTGACCAATAAGAATCAGTCCAGCCTGACGAAAACAGCAGCTCATGCTAACGTTTGTGGTTGTCCACATCCAGAACAAGCTTTGACCGACACAGTGAAACATATTTACTTACCTTCACATCTTGAAAGGTCGTAAAGTCTTTGGGAATCCAAATTTCTGTTCGATCAGGGACAGGTGGACTGCAGATATCTGCGAAGAGCCGCGTCAGTGGTGAGTGTGACGAGAGAATAACTCCCCTAATGTTTGTCTTTCGAGTCTTTTATCAGAGATATTATTAGATCTCATTACTAATGCCGAAAACACTCGAAACTGTTGCGGTCAAAACATCTATCTCATGAATGAACATTTTGTCTTCTTCATAAAAGACTCATTGAGGCATGTCCAACTTGATAGGTGTCCTTTGCAGATTATTTAAAAGCATTGTTGAATACTTTTGTTTTGGAGTCATATCATGATTAAATGAACAACACCTTGGCTGTCGCTGAGTTTTCGCTTGAAGCGGACATGAAGCGCTCTTAAAAAACGCAAGAAAGCCTATTGTCAAACCAGGGACTGGTCATTGGGAAGAATGGCTGCTGCCTGCATCCCTGTGTCCAAATCTCAAGGATGGGAAGGGTAGGTTTTAGACACTTCCGACAAATGTAATTTGATCTTCGGTCAAAAAGAGCCTCCTCGAAGAGGCTATTTTCAGTTTTGTTTTTTCGCAACTTGTCTTGCATGTCGTGGATTAATGGCCATGATGTGCAAATATATAACACATGTTAAAGAGCGTGACCACTTTGGAAGGAAAGTTGGAATTGGTCTTGTCACAAGTAGGAACAACTGAACAAACTAGAGAGACATCAGGAGCGTAAGTGACGGGCCATCAGTTTCGCCTTGGAGGAGAAGGTTAGAGAATTTTGGTTGTGTCAAGATAAAAATCATCCGATCTTCCCATAAATCTCTCTTATATTCTGATGATTCTTCCCCCTATTGGTAGAGCGCTGCACTAGTATCGCAGGGGTCAGTGGTTCGAATCCCGTACAGGCCTGATTTTTTTTTTCAGGTCTGATTTTCGCTATT